CCTTTTGCAGGCCCGCGGATCGATTTCGAAACTCAGGTCGGGGTCTGAACTTACTGTTAGTAGGTAGCACAGGTACAAATTCCAAACTTGGTTGTGCATCAGCAGTTGTAGTAATAATGGTCAAATTACCGATTTTGTTAGTCACTCCGATTACAAACATTTCTCTCCACCCTATGGCAAAATGTGTAGAACCGCAGCAAACTTGCTTTAAAACTGCAACGCTGTAGAATTGCAGACCCACGAGCCACTGTGGCCCCCCTCATGAGTCCATATTTTTTGTGGACCCCACCCCCACCCAAGTTGCCCATCCCTGATGTAAAACATTTGGAAATAGTTTGCACGGTCTTTAGCTGTGATTTTTTTTGGGGGGTAAATGAGATTCATTGTTCTGCCTGTGTCAGTCGTAAATGTGTCAGTCATCAACCTTCAGCTTCACTCGCTGACAGGGGGAAAAAAAACATTTATTCACGTGTGGTTTGATTGGGATGTTCTCCACGGTAACAGCGGTCGAAATTGCGAACCCTCTTTTGATTGGACCCTTTTATGCGGTAAAAGTGCGGTGACTGGTCAAAATTGCGAGCTCTCACATTATATACGTGGAGTGGTTGATTTTGCATAGAATTATGCGATCGCAAAAATCGTGGAATCCTGATGAATGTATAATCTCAAAGCAGCTACACTTTGAGAGAATGCATCTGTCTGCTCGAATTCTGGCTTTTGGCCCTGAAGCCTTTTGAGCTTTAAGTCCTACCATCCAAAATGTCACATTTACACAACAACACTGCTGGTCTTTAGGGAACAATACCCACAATATCCAGCGTCCGCATTCCTTCCAGTTCATGGTCCATCACACAACCAATCACAGCACTCCATCTACAGTGATAACTGAGGTCTGTGAGCAGAGAAGACTGGCTTTGAGTCACAATAGAAAATCAATGGCCGGTCTGAACGTCTTGAGCACGTGTTTTAATATGGCCATGGAATCGATTACCATGAAACAACCTTTAGTTGACCGCCAAGGCGCCAAAAAGCCCCAGAATGCTAGATAAAGGGGGAAAAACCTTTTATTCCACCCAAGTCACACATGAGGACGTTAGCCTACGTCTTATGTCTGAGACAGACAGAATTAAATGAATTGCAAATTAACCTTACGTCCTTAGCTCATTCACTTGTTTTGTCTGTTACATGTAACCAGCCCCTGCTACCTGATCTTCTACCATGTTATGGAACGATAGGTGTTAGATGGATAGCCCAGTTCCTCTCTCAGTCCTCTTTCCATCTCCATAGGAGCTCAGTACCTGTCACTCTGTAGGAGCGTACAGTGATCACCACAGTAGTCAGCCCATTCCTCAGCCTGTCTGACAGACCTGATGCCATATGCTGCTGAGAACAGACTGTTAATAAAACACTCCTCCTCTCGGTTCGGCTGTAGTAATCCATACATTTTAACATGCTTCTCTGGCAACATCAAATCTAGTCAAATCAGGTAAGATTTTACTTTATTATTAATGATTTGACTTTCTGCAAGCCAACCACTAATATTTAACACATTAATGCAGGCAGATTATTGACAGTCATGAAATGGCTAGTAGCTCAGTGAGTGACAGGGCAGCCAGACCCAGTGATATATTGATGTTGACATGACCACTCATTTACCTGCTTTAAAAACACTAACCGTCTGCCAAATACTGGAGGGAGATATTCAAATCGGTATTAATGGCAAATGCATAAATAAAGCTATGTAGGCCTACAGTTGCGGCCAAATACATTGGCACCCTTGCACTTTTTAAAAAAGAATTCCATATTTCTTCTAAAATAAGTTTAAATTGAAAAAAACTTTTGCTCACCACACCTTGTTATTGGATTTTCAACATTGTGGAACCAATTTTATTTTTGTAAACTTAAGTTTACCATTTTAATTAAGAAAAGAAAGGCCCCCGGAGCAAGTACTTGGTTGCACATGCTTTGGCCAAGATAACCGCAGACAAAAGCTTTTTGTAGCCATCAATGAGGTTGCTGCACCTTTCTACTGACAATTTGACCGATCTTTTTAGCAGCAAACTGCTCTAATTCTTCAATATTTTAGGTGTTCCCTCCACCAACTACTGTTTTCAGATTTCGCCATAGGTTTTGGATGTCATTCAGATATGGACTCTTTGCTGGCCACTCCAGAACAGTCCAGCATCTCTTCTTAACCATTCCTGGGTGCTTTTTGCTGTGTGTTTGGGGTCGTTGTCCTGCTGAAAGACCAACAACCTTCAATTGAGACAACGTTTTTAGACACTGGGTTGAACATTGGACAACAAAACACCTGATAATCTTCTGATTTCATGATGCCTTGCACATGTTCAAGGCCCCCAGTACCAGAGGCAGCAAAGCAACCCCACAGCATTATCAAATTATGTTTGATTGTAGGGAGGCTGTTCTTTTCTTTGAATGAGAAAACAGGTATGTTAAAGAAAACAGCCACAATAAAGAAGGATGGGAGTGGCTTAATGACCATTCTAACACGGGCTCAGTGAAGCTTGATAAGAACAAACCAATTGGTTCAGACACCCGATAAGAGAGAACACTGAAAACAGGCTGGGTGATGTTAGATAACAGACCTACAACAACAGTTCAAGGACGTTATGGGAAAATTGTAAAATGGGACAACAGAGATGGTTTATAACAACACAGTGAGATAGGTTAAAACAGGCGTTAATAACACCATACATACTTAAATTACTTCAGAGACATGGATATGAATGAACATGGTATGATATTGGACATGGGATGTGAAATATACCATTAAACATCTAGTTATGTTATTGACCCCTGTACGTGTGGTCAATGATAAAAAGCATGTGGCAAAAGTTGCAAATTGTACTTCGATGGGAAGGCATCTCATGGTTCATGGACGTAATGTATTAACATTACTAAAACAGTTATCCTCATCCACACACAGCCATTCTGAACACCTACTCAGAACAGAGATATACTGTAGACAGTAACTGGAAAACAGAAAGATAGAGGGGTAACGTTACAAATCAAAAAGAGAGAAGTAACAAGAGCTATAGGCTTTGCTTTGGCATTTTATTTCTTTCTTAAAAAAGGGCACGTGGTGCAGCTTGAGACTTCATTCTCCCATCAACACTTAAAACTAAAAAGGACCAAAGACAATAAATAAATAATAAATGTCTCTTTTCATGGATGATCCTGACACAGCAGTTTCTCTGAGCCACAGCAGAAGTGCAGAACCGTAGCCCGCGGTGACCAGGGTTACAGAACATTATCTTTCAGTTGAACTCCTAAACAGACAGAGTGAATCTCTTCAGTCTCTCTTAATGTGTGTCTGAAATGGCACCCTATTCCCTATGTAGTGCACTACTTTTGACCAGAGCTCATGGTACCCCTCTAAAGAGAATGTGTTCTCAATGATGTACCTAAAGGCAAATTCAATAAAGGGTATAGGGTGCTATTCTAAACACAGCCATAATCCATTTCTGCACAACAAGCCCTTCGTTAATCATAGTGTGACCAGTCACAGTGATATCTAAATCATTAGATTAAAACTCATAACTGGAACCCATTTTCCATGACAAGCTGTGTGATCTTTACTGGTGGCAAGGGGACAGAGAGAGAGAGAGAGGTGGAGAGAAGGATAGAGACAGATACACAGAGAGAGAGAGAGAGAGAGAGAGAGAGAGAGAGAGAGAGAGAGAGAGAGAGAGAGAGAGAAACGTCATAAAGAAGAGTATCATAAAAGTGCCTTCAGTCATATTCTATATGTCAATAATAATCTTCCAGGTCAGGAAGAGGAGAGAGAAGACATCACACAGATTTCTGTAATGAGTGTTGCTCCCGTTTTTATTCAGCCATCATTCGTCAGATTCTAATTTCTTTCACCTCGTCGCTCTCCAAACCCCTAAAAATCCACATGTCCACAAAATGACTAGAGAGGGGACAGAATACAGTTCAAAACAGCTCTATATATACAAATTATTTCTGTCTGTGTGTGTGTCTCTGAGTGCGTGTCTGGGTAAATAATAAGCATGGCTGAAAGCGAGACAGCTCAACCTCAAACAGACGTAGAGGCATCACTCAGACTCCATTTAACCAGCCCTGTCAATTAGAGCATGTTGTGTGACGAGGAACTTCTCTTAGCAGCCAGACAGATGTAGGAGGAAAAAGAGTTGGGCTCCCTGGGGAATGAATTCAAACTATGTGGTGCCATCATCCTCATTAACAATGCAAAGAGCACAGTCATACAACACGTAAGACCAGTGAGTGAGAGAGCAGAGAACATAATCATCAACACTGAGTGGCGGAGGTAGAGGAACTTGACTTAGAAGAATACTTTTATTGTCCATTGTCATTTTCTGAACAAGCAGAGAACTGACAGCTTTTCCAGTCAGCCATACTCTTGACAGCCCTACTGAGACAAATAGAGGCTGCTGGAGAGGACCCAGGAGTCTGTCCCCTGACACATTAGCAGCCCTCAGACGTCATTAATCACCATTAAACAACATTAAACACCATTATCTAGCCTGGAGGCTGAAGGTGCACAACCTGCACACAGTGGATGTGCTAGGAAAAACAGCACTATAACCACTTTGTGTTTGTGCGTGTGTGTTTGTGTGTGTGTTTGAACGCGTGTGTGCGTAATGATTATATTCTCAGAATACTTTCCTTGAAGAGAGAGATGGAACATCAAAGGATGTACTGATGTTTTTATGTCTGAGTGTAGTTCTGTCTAGTTCTGTGTGTGTGTGTGTGTGTGTGTGTGTGTAGTTCTGTCTGTGTACGGCAGATATTAGGAGCTCAAAATAGCACATGACACAGAGAGTCCACCGTACTGCTCTAACCCTGCCAGGAGAGTGTATAGTATCTGTATTCACACAGAGTCCATGTGAGACACATATAAAGGTATTGTGTTTGTGACATAATGCATTTTCCATGGTCCTTCCAACCAGATCAGTTAGTATTTCTTTCAGTATGCATAAATCTTTTTAAAATGTTTAGTAGGTAAAATGTATGTATGTGTGTGTGTTCCTCACCTCCTTGTCCATGCTGTCCAGGTCTTCTTTACAGAATGTGTAGAGGGGGTTGGTCTCTGACATGCTGGGCTGGCGTTCCCTCCGGCGGCAGGAGGGTCCAGGCTGCTCCTCGTCTCGACTGGAGGGACCCGCCGTCTCCCCCTGCTGGTCCTTCTGACCCCCCCTGGTCACACCACAACAAACAACCATCAGCCAGACACAAACATATTCAACTATTACCTATTTAGCCATAAACTCATTGTGACTCACCATGAGAAAACCGGTGCCTTGTTATCACCGATGGTGTGAAAGAGGAAGAGAAACTGCCTTTGTGTGTCTTATCGTTACATTCAGCCTCCAAAACAGCTATACTTTTCCATTATGTTCTTAACTTTCAGTAGAGGCTCAGGCTTACAGCCCATCAGCCTTATGTGCTAGCAGGAGTACACAGCTAATATACAACCCTACTAGACATACACTAACGTTCAAAAGTTTGCGGTCACTTAGAAATGTCCTTGTTTTCCATGAAAACATACATTAAATGAGTTTGAATAGGAAATATAGAAAAATGCATTGGAAATGTAGTCATTGACAAGGTTAGAAATAATGATTTTTTTATTTAAATAATAATTGTGTCCTTCAAACTTTGCTTTCGTCAAAGAATCCTCCATTTGCAGCAATTACAGCCTTGCAGACCTTTGGCATTCTAGTTGTCAATTTGTTGAGGTAATCTGAAGAGATTTCACCCCATGCTTCCCAAGTTGGATTGGCTTGATGGGCACTTCTTACGTACCATACGGTCAAGCTGCTCCCACAACAGCTCAATAGGGTTGAGATCCGGTGACTGTGCTGGCCACTCCATTATAGACAGAATCCCAGCTGACTGCTTCTTCCCTAAATAGTTATTGCATAGTTTGGAGCTGTGCTTTGGGTCATTGTCCTGTTATAGTAGGAAATTGGCTCCAATCAAGCGCCATCCACAGGGTATGGCATGGCGTTGCAAAATTGAGTGAAAGCCTTCCTTCTTCAAAATCCCTTTTACCCTGTACAAATCTCCCACTTTACCACCACCAAAGCACCCCATACCATTACATTGCCTCCACCATGCTTGACAGATGGCATCAAGCACTCCTCCAGCATCTTTTCATTTGATCTGCGTCTCACAAATGTTGTTCTTTGTGATCCGAACACCTCAATTCGTCTGTCCATAACACTTTTTTCCAATCTTCCTCTGTCCAGTGTCTGTGTTCTTTTGCCCATCTTAATCTTTTCTTTTTATTGGCCAGTCTGAGATAAGGCTTTTTCATTGCAACTCTGCCTAGAAGGTCAGCATCCCGGAGTCGCCTCTTCACTGTTGACGTTGAGACTAGTGTTTTGCATGTACTGTTTAATGAAGCTGCCAGTTGAGGACCTGTGAGGCGTCTGTTTCTCAAACTAGACACTAATGTATTTGTCCTCTTGCTCAGTTGTGCACCGGGGCCTCCCACTCCTCGTTCTATTCTGGTTAGAGACAGTTTGCGCTGTTCTGTGAAGGGAGTAGTATACAGCATTGTACGAGATCTTCAGTTTCTTGGCAATTTCTCGCATGGAATAGCCTTCATTTCTCAGAACAAGAATAGACTGACGAGTTTCAGAAGAAAGCTATTTGTTTCTGGACATTTTGAGCCTGTAATCGAACCCACAATTGCTGATGCTCCAGATACTCAACTAGTCTCAAGAAGGCCCGTTTTATTGCTTCTTTAATCAGCACAACAGTTTTCAGCTGTGCTAACATAATTGCAAAAGGGTTTTCTAATGATCAATTAGCATTTTAAAATGATAAACTTGAATTAGCAAACACAACGTGCCATTGGAATACAGGATTGATGGTTGCTGATAATGGGCCTCTGTACACCTATGTAGATATTCCATAAAAAATCAGCCGTTTCCAGCTACAATAGCCATTTACAACGTTAACAATGTCTACACTGTATTTCTGATCAATTTGATGTTATTTTAATGGACAAAAAAATGTGCTTTTCTTTCAAAAACAAGGACATTTCTAAGTGACCCCAAACTTTTGAACGGTAGTGTATATAAAAGTCCTGTTAAAAGGTAGGTGAAATGTGGTTGGCCACAAACACATTATTGAGGCTGGAACGGACAGTAATCTCCAAGTTTGTGTGTGTGTGTGTTTTCAAAGATATGGTGTTACGTATTAAACTGTCCGTTTTTTATCTAGGACAACGTCGACCCATAGCAGGACGCATCTGTGATGTGTACCACAGAGTGTAGAGGGAGAACAAGTAGGGAAGGAGGGAAAGAGGAGGAGGGTTGAGGGAGAGGAGGAGGAGGGAGGGAGGGAAGACGGGAGGAGGGGTGCAACTTCCGGGCCTTTAAACGCTGTGAAAATTAGACATTTCCCAGTGGTTTGCAGACCAGAGAGAGATCGACTGGGATAGTAGGAAATTACAGATATATTCCCTTCATTTAAAGCCAAACAGGATACATAATACGTTCTAAATGAGGTCTACTCAAAATACTTATAATATTGCCCTTTGTTGACGAATCTGATTAGTCTATTTTAAGCAAACTCCTCCTGTCCAGTCACATTGTGAAGGATGTTTGTACAACACTTCTCCCAATAATAATAATAATAATAATAATAATAATAATAAGCCATTTAGCAGACGCTTTTATCCAAAGCGACTTACAGTCATATGCGCATACATTTTTACGTATGGGTGGTCCCGGGGATCGAACCCACTACCCTGGCATTACAAGCGCCATGCTGTACCAATTGAGTTACAGAGGACCACATGACTGGTATTTGCTACTGTTTAGCATTTTACAGATGAAGGAGAACCCAGAAGCGTCCTTGGATACGCTACAAGGAGCTCCTAAGGAGTGAGGCTTAGAAAGCATGTTTGGCAGAATGTTTAGGCTATAGGATATCTGAGGACGGCCAATATGAGGCTGTGTGTGTGGAGCCAAGGTGAGGCTAGGAAAATAATTAGAGCCCGACTGATATAAAATCGGTTCACCGATATTCAATTGGCCGATATTGGCCCTTTACCGATATAATGGTATCGGCCAATAATTCCACCGATAACCGATATTCAATAAATAGGATGCAAAAAGAGAATCTCATGCTGATCTGAACACTTGCGGCCATTCTCACGATGTGTCATTATTGTCACAATGTATGACATCAACATTTGAAGCTTAGTTATTGGCAATTGCTCTTTTAGATGGCAATTTATGAGAATTTAGTGTTGAAAAACGAAACTTTTTCAAATCCCCAAAGTAAATCGGCAGATATATCGGTATGTTAGTCCCCCGTAAAATTCGGAATCGTTATCGGATACAAAAAAATATAGGTTGGGCTCTAAAAATAATATCTGTTTGGGATAGGGTAGACAGCCCTGAGGTTGGCACGTCTCACTACTGTCATGTTAGATCTGGTTAGAGGACCTTGTTGAGAACAGGGGTGTAGCTAGCTGAGGATAAATAGGCGAGACTGGCTGGTCCCACTGAGTGGTGATGTAGAGAGGAACATTTAGTTCAGAAACCAAGAAAGTATTGAGCGATTAAGAGGGGAACGACACTCCACATCACCCAGTATGCACTGCAGGCGGCAGCACTTCCTCCTGGCAGTCTCTAATTGGGCGCTGAGCTTCTTTGATGATTTCACTCTAATTTGGGTTTTATGTAACAAAAATTCAGCATTGTGCCTCACTGTGTGTGTGTATGTGTGTGACTAAAACTCTGCCTCCCTGTGACTCAGAATGCATAATACAGCACCATGCTCTGCTGCGAAGTTTCATTATGATGTTATTAACATGACATATCTGTCTCAAAGCAGAAAGTTAAGGAGACACCGGGAGAGACCGTCTGGTAAACAGATGCCAGCCAATTTAGAGATGAAAACTTTTCACAACATTTGAAGCCAGCTCAAAGGAAAACATTTGACCATCAACACCAAGCCTAGGATGTTAACTATTTTGTACCTGCCAATTGAGGTGACAGAGATGCTTTTGGTGACTCACATAGGAGGGGCATAGGGTTTTCTAAAGTGAGACAGATTTAATCTTGACAAACTATGGGTAAAGAAGCTACCTACACTACTGAAAACAGAAATACATGCAAATACCGCAAGTAATACACAACCTTTACGTTGGACTGGGAAGTAAAAATCTGTTATTACAACTAAAACTTATTGTAGCTGCTCGCTGACTTATGAGCAGTTTCCCCTCACATTCATCATAACCCCAGTGTGTTATTGCTCCGCCAAAACAGACCATTCCAGCATTAACATGCAAATTTATCTTCACCTCTAGCTGTAGAACATAATGAACAGGCAGAAACTCCAGCAGGAATCGTCTAATCATTTAATTCCAGGAGAACAATCCCAAAGCTGCCAACGCCCACCTGACTATACGACGCTCAGATTTGTATTTAGAGCCTGAGATTCATGTATAGATGGATTTTAGGAGAAAATCCCATTTGGCAATAGAAGGAAAAGAGAACACACAGCATATAGGCTGTGGGCCTCTCAGACCAGGGCTGTATATATATATATATATTGAGAGAATGCCAAGAGTGTGCAAAGCTGTCATCAAGGCAAAGGGTAGCTACTTTGAAGAATCTAAAATCTAAAATATATTTTGATTTGTTCAACACTTTTTTGGTTACTACATGATTCCGTATGTGTTATTTCATAGTTTTGATGTCTTCACTATTACTCTACAATGTAGGAAATGGTAAAAAAAATTAAAGACAAACCATTGAATGAGTAAGTGTGTCCAAACTTTTGACTGGTAGGCACTTCTCCCTCTAACAGAAAATATATTCTCACTTTCGACACAACTCTAAATGAATGCTCAGAGATGGCTGGTTGGTTTGGTCGGTCGGGGAGCCGCCGTGCAGCATAAACAGCTGCTGCTCGGCTCCTAGACAGACAGGTGGTTCCCGGCCTCCTAATAGAAATATGATTAACAGGCCAGACATTGTTCTCTACGTTACAGCTGTAAGCGCTGCCAGAGTTGTCGTTGCCAGAGTTGTCGTTTTGAGTGTTACAGCTTCTGAACGCTGACAGAGTTTTCAGAGCTCGTCTGTCTACAGGGCCCGGCGTCTACTAAATGTAAGGCAATACATTTACATTTTAGTCATTTAGCACAGGGTTTCCCAAACTTGGTCCTGGGGCCCACCCTGGATGCACTTATTTTGGTTTGTGCCCTAGCACTAAAGAGCTGATTAAAATAATCAAAGCTTGATGATGAGTTGGTTATTTGAATCAGATGTGTAGTGCTAGGGCAATAACCAAAACGTGCACCCAGGGGGGGGGGGTCCCAGGACTGAGTTTGTGAAACCTTGATTTAGCAGATGCTCTTATCCAGAGCGACTTACAGGAGCAATTAGGGCAGGGTTTCCCAAACTCGGTCCTCGGGACCCCAAGGGGTGCACGTTTTGGTTTTTGCCCTAACACTACAAAGCTGATTCAAATAACCAACTCATCATCAAGCTTTGATTATTTTAAAATCAGCTGTTCAGTGCTAGAGTAAAACCAAAACGTGCACCCCTTGGGGTCCGGAGGACAGAGTTTGGGAAACGCTGAACTAGGGTTAAGTGCTTTGCTCAAGGTCATAGACATATTTTTCACCTATTCGGAACGGTGATTCAAACCAGCGACCTTTCGGTTACTGGCCCAACGCTCTTAAATGCTAGGCTACCTGCCGCCCTATAGCAGCCATTAGAGCAAAGAGACAGACAGACAGGTCAGACACAAGCTGCGTTCCAGAACGTTGTAACTGGTACGAGACCCGGTGTCCTTGCTCATCTAGACATGACGGGGGCAAGAAGACTTACTAGGTACTTAGAATCACTGAAAAGCCAACCATCGATCCCAAATATCAATACATCTGATGGAGCACCACAGAAAAAGAGGACAGATCTGAACACGCATGTCATCCATCATCATCTGTGATCACCATGGCTGATGTGTGCACTTTGTTAAAAAGTCAAAAGGTACACACCACGCACAGTTGTGAACACAGTTGAATTGCCAGGTCAGTACCTGAGCGAGGTCTGGTCGCAGTGGGCAGAAGACATGGAGGCCTGGAGGTAAGATGGTGGTCTGGAGGGCTGAGGCCCGCGGCGAATCAGCTTCCCTGTGACCGGGTCGTACGTCCGCACCTCAGGGGCAGCTGGAGAGGGGCGGTGGTGGTGGAGGGGAGCGGGGGGGAACAGGGGGTTCTGGAAGGTCCCTTGGAGGTCAGGGAATGCGGCTGGGCTGTTGCTCCTATAGACAGAAAGACAAACACCATCAGATAAATGTGCGAGTGTGTGTACTGTTGTGACTTTGTGTGTGTGTGTGTGTGTGTGTGTGTGTGAGACTTTGTGTGTGTGTGTGTGTGTGTGTCTGTATACCGTTGGGTTTTGGTGTAGTCCTCCTTCAGTGGATACAGTGATTCCTCCACCCTCTCCCAGCGCTCCAGACATCCCCACAGCCAGTCAGGATTCACCACATGTAGATGTTTACAGCCTTGGGCCTGACGCACCTTCTCGGTACCTGAGAGAGAGACGAGGTGAGAGAGAGGGTCAATCAACCAATCAGTCAATCAAGAAGAGAAAACAGGATACTGTCTGTTGCTAGATACCAAACTTAAAGTGTATGGTAAGGCATTTGTGAAAATTCTGTAGCAATATAGAGAGGGAAAATGGGCGTGTGTTTGAACAATTAATAGACCCTGCAGTAAATAAAACCTAATAAAAACATAGGTTTTGTCCAGGACCGGAGTCAAAGCAGACTGTTGCGCCATAGCCAATCAGAGCACTACAGTAGGCTTATATGCAAATAAACCATTTGCCACATGGGCCGGACATGATTAACTTTGAACTGGACTGTGTGTTTACAAGCAGTAGCAACAGCGCGACTTTAGATCATTACAAACGTATTCACCAAGAGCCACAAAACACACCCAAATGGATTTCTGCAAATATGTAAATACCACAGGAGTCCTCTTACATTTGGGAACTTCACAGTCCTATTGATGAAACAACCATGAAAAGGTAGGCTCTCTCTCCTTCAGTTGCCTATGCACATCAACAACAACAAGATCAACAACTAATGCTAGCCAGAGCGAGATGAGCTAAAATCTAACGAGGGAACATTAGCTAAACCCTCTCAAACTTGTTCAGCTTGCTTGCCAATGCATGCTTGTCCCAACCCACGTTCTGACAACTGAATGGGAACTTGCCTGCCCGCCCATTTGATCGATGCAAAATACATTTGATTGACAACTAAGAGAGAGTTCAAGTTCAGCATAGCTAACTAGCTAGCAAAGCGATTCACATGTCTGGCTAGCTAACCAAATGCCACCCAAAAACGATATGAGGGGAAAAAGTTAGTCACTCACTCACTCACTCTTCCATTTACGTCATTTAGCAGACACTCTTATCCAGAGCGACTTACAAATTGGTGCATTCACCTTATAGCCAGTGGGATAACCACTTTACAAATACAATATATATTTTTTTTGGGTGGGGTAAGGGGCGGGGGGGGGGGGGGGGTTAGAAGGATTACTTTATCCTATCCCAGGTGTTCCTTAAAGAGGTGGCATGACATAGCTAGCTAGCAAAAGTTACGCTCTGTGTTTTTAACTTGCTAAATAAAAAGCTACATAAATAGATATGCTAGCCCAGGGGTGTCAAACTCATTCAGCGCACGGGCCATATTGAAAAAACAAAACGAATTTGCGGGCCAGACATAGCTTATTTGATTTTACAAAAAGAACTTGCAACTGCGACCCAAACTGGGCATTGTTTTATTAGAAAATATATGGTTTTATAACGTCCACTTAAGTACATAGGATGCTGTATATAGCATTTGAACATATTAAAACAAAAAGAGATAAACAATATTTGTCCAGCCTTTGCTGCTATGCTTGCAGATGTGCATAACAAAAACGTAGTTATAGGTTGTTGTAACATGTTTTTTGCACTGCATGGATCACCTGTGCAATTGAATGCAGCATTGCTGGATGGTGCACTCAAAATGTATTGTAGTTGAGTAGCCTGCTGCTCAAATGTTGCTGTAATAGACCTACATATTTCTCCTTTAAATGGTGTTTTGCTGCAGGTTTTGGTTTTTGGTTATTCATTGTCAAGCTTTAAAAACCGAAGCCAGACTGCAACATTTTAGTAGCCTAGCTAGGACTGTGGCACGGGTCTGTACACTTTCCCTCCACTGCGCGCTGTAAACAGGACACACGAAAGCAGCGCAATTGAAGTTGAATTCACCAATGCGAGCCCATCAGGCTGTAATGTTGACTCATTGTGTCCTATTCGGCCCGCGGGCCTTGGGTTTGACGCATGAGCTAGACTACTAGCCACGTTATGACTGACTTGTGATCATTGGCCTTGCTAGTTTGATTGTATTGACATTCCCAGCCTTAGTTACAGTCGTCCACTTTTGTTCAAAATATTGAGTCATTGAAACTGAAACGGTGCATCCCGAATGGAGGCAGCAAACAATGTACCAGGCCAGCTGTGATTTACAACCTGAAAGCAATATTTTTGGTACTACCAAGAAATGTATTGGTGAATTACATTAATCATGCATTGAACTGCATTCATTTATTCTGCCAACAATGCCTTACTGCACATGTCATGGAATTTTGAGTAATGTATAACCTATTTTTAAAACCTCTTAGAAAGTTGGTTTCGAAGCATAAACTGGGAATTTAATATTTTTGACTAATATGATTCTGTTTGTTTCATATCTGCAAAGTAGTTACAATGCTGTCAGTTCCACTTTAACAACCAAGCTGCATAAACAGAGGAGCAAACTGAAGAGAGAAATATACAGCAACTCTCGGATGCAAATGGAAGTCGATTTTATTGTTAAAACCAACACTTTCAGGGTGTAACCTCAACCATACATTCAAAGCCAATTAACAATTGTCCTGAAGAATTTCATTTTTCACCAATCCATTAGGTTCCACTGACAACCAGTTTCTGTTTTATTGGCATTAAGTCAGTTCAGACGAGGGGTGGGAGCAGCAATTTCCACTTCACTTGGGATTATTGTTGTCTGACACACAGAGACAGAGACCTGCATCTCAGCGCAGCACTGTACATCATCAGAGCACCGTACCTAATTAACACAAGGTTAGCCCATCCCACAACAGCAAATACTGACTCTGCTCTGCACATCGAATGCCTTTTATTTTTTGCCATATATTCTCCCCAAATTGATTAGGTGTGTCAAACTAATACTGACTGTGTAGCTAGCTATAAGCCAGTAATCCAGAACAAGAGGTCAGCCTTGAGACTGCATAGCAAGAGCGGCCAGACAGCCAAATCCTCTGAATATGATCTGACTGCCAATGCTGAGATTTGAGATTGCTGAACAATATAAATTATAAAAAGGAAGCTAAAACAATTAGCCCATGGGCCAGACCCCACAATTTGGGTGACGATTTTCTTGAAGGTCTTTGTCCCTTGAGTTGGAAAATGTGTGATAGCAGTGCAGCAATGGCAGCTCTCTCTGTTATCACCCTCTTTCATCCCTCCATGTTTCCATAGGGATTTTACCATATGACAAACAATGTCAGTATACAGCAAGTTATTGCTCATGTATACCCTTTAATCATATATCATTGGAAAGCTTAGATTTACAGTATCCATCAGACACAATTACAGAATGTTGAGGTCAACAGAACTTTGACTTCTTTACATATCAGAATATAAATTGCTTTAAAATGGAAAACCTGATACATTTTAAACTTTGACAAATGTAACTAGGCCACTCGTGAACATTCAGTGTCGTCTTGGTAAGCAACCCCAGTGTAGATTTGGCCTTGTGTTTTAGGTTATTGTCCTGCTGAAAAGGTGAATTTGTCTCCCAGTGTCTACTGGAAAGCAGATTGAACCAGGTTTTCCTCTAGGATTTCCCCAAACATAACGCTTTGTATTGAGGACAAAAAGTTAATTTCTTTGCCACATTTTTTTGCAGTATTACTTGTGCCTTGTTGCAAACAGGATGCATGTTTGGAATATTTTTTTTCTGTACAGGTTTCCTTCTTTTCACTTTGTCATTTAGGTTAGTATTGTGGAGTAACTACATTGTTGTTGATCCATCCTCAGTTCTCATTATCACAACCATTAAAAAATCTCCGAGCAGTTTCCTTCCTCTCCGGTAACTGAGTTAGGAAGTACGCCTGTATCTGTGTAGTGACTGGGTGTATTGATACACCATCCAAAGCCTAATTAATAACTTCACCATGCTCAAAGGGATAATCTGCGTCTACCAATAGCTTCCTTTCTTTGCGAGGAATTGAAAAACCTCCCTATAATATAATAATAATATGCCATTTAGCAGACGCTTTTATCCAAAGCGACTTACAGTCATGCGTGCATACATTTTTGTGTATGGGTGGTCCCGGGGATCGAACCCACTACCTTGGCGTTACAAGCGCCGTGCTCTACCAGCTGAGCTACAGAGGACCACCTCCCTGCTCTTTGTGGTTGAGTTTGTTCTTGAAATTCACTACTCGATTGAGGGACCTTACAGATAATTGTATGTGTGGGGTACAGAGATGGGGTAGTTATTCAAAAATTATGCTAATCACTATTGAACACTGAATGAGTCCACGCAACTTATTATGCGATTTGTTAAGCACACTTTTACTCCTGAACTTTAGGCTTGCCATAACAAAGGGGTTAAATAATTACTGACTCAAGACATTTCAGCTTTTCATTTTAAAAACATAATTCCACTTTGACATTATGGGGTATTGTGTGAAGATCAGTGACACAAAATCATAATTGTATCCATTTTAAATTCAGGCTGTAACACAACAAAATGTAGAAAAGTAAAGGGGTGTGAATACTTTCTGAAGGCACTAAGTGAGCAATAACTTGTTGTATACTGACATTGTTTGTCATATGGGAAAATCCCTATGGGAAAAGTTAATGGGATGGAGGAATGAAAGAAAGAGTGAAAACAGAGAAAAGTGCCATTGCTGCACTGCTATTACACATCATCCAACTCTAGCGACATAGACCTTCAAGAAAATCACTATGAGACATTGTCACCCAGAGTGAGCCCGAGCCCATGGACTACATGGAAATCAGAAGAGGTCAACCATTCTCAAAATTACAGCAGAATCTCTCCCTTCTTTTTTATTTAAATCACTACAAAAGAAACCATTTCCCATAGGCCTGGCAGTGCTTTTCTAGTCATGCGGTGCATGCTCTCAGCTGCCTGCTCCAGAGCACCCTTCCCTGCCTCCCTGCCCCGTCTGCCTCCCTGCCCCGTCTGCCTCCCTGCCCCGTCTGCCTCCCTACCCAGTCTGCCTCCCTGCCCCGTCTGCTCTGTGTGTCTCCCTGCCCTGTCTGGATTGTTGTGTTTCATGGCATGGTGGTCTTGACCAGTGTCTTAAGATGCAATTAAATAACCAATCACCTAATCAATAAGCTATATCAATCCCAGTACAATGAATGGCACTTGTACCGAAAGCCCACACAATGACTGTGTCACTCAGGCCCTTGTACCGACAGCCCA